CCAGGGAAAAGTTTTAAAAATTTAGAAAATCAGGGAATACCTGGAAAAGTCAGGGAATATTTGTTAAAAATCTGTAAAATCAGGGAAAACTCAGGGAATATTTTTCAGTTTTTTATTTAGCTTGAAGTTATTTTGCAAAATACACATTTTGAGTGTTTATTGTTGTTGAAAATTGCTCACTAAAGTGGTTTTTTAACTTTTATATTATATAGTACCTATATGTTTAGCTAAATGTATAAATAAATATAATAATATAAGACATGACTTCAGAAAAGACTTATTTTCAAGAGGATTGGTTACAACAAGATATTTATAAAGATTGGTTAGTTCCCAACGCACATGCAAAAACTAAATCTCATTACAAAAAATGTAAAAAATCATTTGAATTGTCCAATATGGGTATTCAGGCTGTTAAAAGTCATGCAGCAGGTATTTATATTAACTTTTTTAATGTGAGAGTGAGAATTAAAAAGAAATGTTGCTTGATTGATTCATTATTTTATATTTTAATATCAGTTTCAAACACATTGTAATCAACTTTTGATTGCAACCTGTTTCAGTTGTTTTCCTTGTTGGTTGGTTGCTTATATTGTTTTTTCAAACTTTGCAAGCTAAACAGATTAAGAAAAAAGATAAAAATTTTTAGACATTTTAAATGTTTCATTATTTATTTATCTTGTTTTAGGTAAGAAGCATCAATCTGCTACAAAGCCTGCTAGTTGTTTCTTTATTAACGGAAAAGAGTTGCATGCTGAACCACTTGGAAGTGATGAAAAAATATCCACATTTTTCACCAAAAAACAAGCAACTATTGTCTCTTTAATTAAATCATCGTTATCAACTAATGCTGAGATCATATGGGCCCTGAAATCTACAATGAGCTGCTACTCTAATAACTCATGTGCAAACTTTTAAAAAGATGTTTCCTGATAGCAAGGTAGCAGAAGATTTCACTATGAGCACCCCAAAAGTATCATACATTGTTAACCATGGACTAGCCCCATACTTAAAGACACTTTTAAAAGAAGAAATCACAAAGTCTGATTGTTACATTGTATCTTTTGATGAGAGTTTAAACGACATAACCCAAACTTGTCAGATGGATCTACTAGTTTGGTATTGGGATGGCAATAATAAAGTTAAAGTGAGATATTGGACATCAGCATTTCTTGGTCATTCTGCAGCTTCTGACCTTCTTACACATTTCAACGAAAACTTATCAAGATTTGATTCAAGTAAAATGTATCAAGTTTCCATGGATGGGCCCTCTACAAATCTGAAATTTCTAGATGATCTTAATAAACACAGAAAGGACAACGAGATGCCACAACTTATAAATATTGGAAGTTGCTTTTTGCATGTAATCCATGGTGCTTTCAAAACAGCTATCGAATCAACAACATGGAATATTAAAGAAACTTTAAAAGGGTGTTGGCAAATTGTTCATGATAGCCTAGCTAGGCATCAAGATTATGAAACAGTCACAGGTGCAACAAAATACCCTCTCTTTTTTTTTGGAACAAGATGGGTTGAAAGTAAATCTGTTGCAGATTGTTGCATTGAAATCTGGCCTAATATATGTAAGTTGATTGAGCTTGGGGAAAAGTTACCATCTTCGAAACAACCTAAATCAAAAAGCTTTTTAAATGTAAAAAAGGCTGTTAAAAACAAACTTATTATTTTAAAATTTGAAGTTTTCAGCTTTGTTGCAAGCATATTAGAGCCATATTTGTTGGCATACCAAACTGACAAACCAATGATTCCATTTATGTATTGTGACTTAGAAAGACTGTTACGAACCATACTGAGCTTGTTTGTGAAACAAGATGTTATTGATAATAGTTGTATTTCAGTCCAACTAAAAGAAGTTGATTTTCATAAAAAAGCTAATCTACTTAAAGGAAATCAAATCAAACTAGGGTTCGCAGCTGAAACAAGACTGGCTGTTTTACAAAAGAAAGATATAATAACCATTGCTGATATTCAAAGTTTTCACAAAGATTGCTCTAACATGTATGTTTGATTGATTGAAAAGTTCATGGACGGAACTCCACTAGGATCTATCATTGTACGCAACTCTCAGGTTCTTAACCCAAATGCAATGGTAGTAATGACTCAAAAAGATGCCGAGAAGAAGTATAAATCTTTATTGACCCACTTGATTAGCTTGAAATATGTTTCACCAATCTTTTCTGATAAAGCTATAAATCAATTTGCAGATTTCTTTTGAGAATCAAGGGTTTATCAAGACATCTTTCATGAACTCAATCAAGAAAGAGATAGCTTAGACGACTTCTATTTAAAAAAATTTAACCTAGATAAATATAAAGAGTTTGCATTGACTGTTATAATATTATTAACACTAAGCCATGGACAAGCCTCAGTTGAGAGAGGTTTTAGTATAAATGCCACTGTACTAGAACAGAATTTAATTGAAAAATCAATAACTGCAAGATGTTTAGTCAAAGATCATATGCTATCAAATAATCTTCAGCCACATAGTATTGAAATTACAAGCAAAATGATCATCAGCATAAAATCGGCACATGAAAGATATAGAAGCTACCTAAATTCAATCGCAGACACTAACAAAAAAGAAGCAAGTCAATTGGCAAAAAAAGTTGTTAGCGATGAAATAAAAGATGTTGAAACGAGGCGAGATCAACTGAAGAAAACCAGTGAAATGTTGCAGTTTGATTTGTAAAATTTGTTGAGGAAGCAGAGGAGAAGCAAGATCTAGGGTTAATTTCTAAAGCTAATGCGATGAAACAAAAAGCAAATGAAAAAAATGAAGAAGTAAAGAAATTAGAGCTAGCACTTAAGCTAGAATAAAGAAATTAGAGCTAGCACATCTTAGAGCAAAAAAGAAAGTTGCTAAAATAATATATTCGTTCTCACATGAAGTTTATATTTTGTTAACAAAACACATTAGTTTTTTCAAAACATGTATAAATTGTTATTTTTTTAATATATTTCTTTTAGTTAGCAGATTAATATGGCTCTGTTTCTTGTTTAAAACACCTTTAACGGATTGCTATAAATTAATTAAAAACAGTCTCTGATTTCTTAGAAAATAGTGATAAAAAGTATTTAGGGAACAAGGATTCAGCTGCAAAAGTATTATATTTTTCAACATTGATAGGCAAAATATTTAGACTTTTCACCGCACGAACTCAGGGAAAAAATACTTGAAAATCAGGGAAAATCAGGGAAAACTCAGGGAAAATGGTTTTTCAAAACTGCCATGAACCCTGCTTTAGCAGTAATTTTTCATGTCTGACAAAATCAAATGCTTTTTAAAAATCAAAGAATATTGCAAATATTGATTTGTTATTATCTTCAACATAAATCCAGTCCTCCATAATTTGAATAATAGCATCTGTTGTACAATGCCCTGGAAGGAAACCGAATTGCTTGTTTTAGACAGATGTGTGCTTGATGTGATGGATAATGAAACTGGTAATAATGCGTTCAAAAACTTAGCATAATGCAGATGTAATTTCAATCGGAGGGTAGTCATTAGATGAGAACGGGTTTGTTATTTAAGGAATTTATACAGGGTGGCCAGCAGTCCTTGAAAACCTTGAAACCTGAAAAAGTTCTGGAGCTTGATAGGTCCTCTAAAATTCCTGGAAAAACATCCCTTTTAGCAATAATTCCTGGAAATCTTGGAACTTTTTTCTAAAATAGTTAAATATTTTGATATCATGATTTTTATCTTTTACAGAGTTATTAATTTTGCAGAGATTTATACTGAATTTAGTAACTATGGTTTTTTGGTAATGCAAAAAACTGTACTTATCTATGTATAGACTCTTTTGGTAATTAGTTTACTGACTCGATTAACAAGTTTTTTCCACTCGTTGTAGTGCCCGGAGAAAAAAAAGTTTTTGACACTCTTTTATAAGACTTTGCATAAATTGTGTCATCCAAGGCTTAGGTTAAAAAGCATAATTGCTCTTAGAGATTGGCAGATGTCTTGAGCAGAGAGTATAGAATATTAATAATTATAATAACAAACTGAATTATCAAAGCTAGTGAATGGTATTGAACACATAAGCATTTAAGAGTATTACTTAATATATATATATATATATATATATATATATATATATATATATATATATATATATATATATATATATATATATATATATATATATATATATACTACTACTACTACTACTATAGCATATATCAATATAAAATATCTGTACATATTTTTTTTAAATATAAGAATTTATTAAGATAAGCATTTGATTATCTTAATAACATGCAGCTTTTTAGCAAAAGAAAAAAAAACAAATAATAAAAGAAAAGATTGCTGCCCGATGCCAAATCCACAGATTTACAAGTCTATACAATATACATACATACTGTATAGATTTGTATATAATATATATTGTTTACTATAATAATAGAGTTTAAAATGATAATGGAAAATAAAATTGAATAAAAGTTATATGTTAGTTATATGAATTAAAGTTATATGAATTAAAGTTATAAGTTAGTTATATGAATTAAAAGTTATATGAATTAAAGTTATAAGTTTCTTGATAAGTCGTTGAAACACCTAAATAAACATGATAAAATCTAATTTTTTCTCTTTTTTTTTACTTTTTAATTTTTATTCCTAATTTTAATTAAAATGTTATATAATATATATAAGAGTTATATAAATTTTGATACAATTTTTAAATGAATTTTTTAACAAAATATGCAATATAGGAGTATTAACTGATTGGACTGCATGGGGCGTATGTTCTGCCACGTGTAATACTCAAGTCAATGGACCATTCCAAACTAGAGATCGATCTTGTGTTGGTTTTTCTACATGGAATCCAAATTTTGCGGGTTGTGTTGGTGCTACTAGAAACGAACAACAACTTTGTAATCAAAATGTTCCATGTCCAGGTGAGATTCATTTCTTTGTATTAAACTCCTTAATGGTTTTTGCTGTAATAACAAAAAATGTTACTTATAATGTTTTTTAACAAAAGGTAATTATGGTGCATGGGCTGCATGGGGATCCTGCTCAGAATCATGTCAATCTAATGTTAATATAGCTCCATTTCAAACTCAGACTAGGTCATGTCTCGGTGCTACATTAAATGGTGGATGTCCTGGAGCAAGTTCTCAAACTCAAAACTGTAATGTTGGAGTTTCTTGTCCAGGTAACTTTTTTTTTTTTTTTTATGCAATGAAATAAATTTTTTTTTTAATAAACTTTCTGAATTTTATTAAATAGTTCATAAAACAAAAATGAAATGGAAAATGCAATTTTGGTGTTTATTTTGGACCCTTTACCTTGAAGCTATCATTGAATTTCTTATTTTGTATTGTATGTTGTTGTTTTTTTAAGGCATTTTAAGTTTATGGGGAGCATGGGGAGCATGTACAGCAAGTTGTCAAGTAAGTTTTACTTCACCTACTCAAACAAGAAATCGTCAATGTAATGGTGCTACTTTTAATGGCAATTGTAATGGATTAATGTTGACTGATACTCAAAATTGCAATGAGCAAGTTTACTGTCCAGGTTTGTCTTGTTGAAAAAATTTGTACTTACAAACAGCTGTGATATATTGTCATAAGTTGAATATTTATTAAAAAATCCGTTAAGTATATCAGATAGGAAGAAGTAATAAAACTAATTTTTGATTAGCTATGCATGTTTTGTGAGTTTGTATTGAATAGCTTAATTTATTAAAATGCCATTTTTCTAGGAACAATATCGGATTGGAGTTCTTGGAGTGTATGTTCTGCATCTTGTAACAATCTTGTTACTGTACCATCTCAAACTAGAACTCGATCATGTTCTGGGTTTTCTACTTGGGATCCTACCTATACAGGTTGTCCTGGTATCACTAGAAGTGAACAAATTTCTTGTAATGCAAATGTTGGTTGTCCTGGTAAAAAATATTCATAAAATTTTTTTCTGATTTAAATTTCTTTATTGTAATCTTTTTAAACTAAAATTTAAAAAAATATGTAACAGGTACTTATAACGCATGGAATGCATGGAGTACTTGCTCAGAATCTTGCCAATCTAATTCAAATTTAGCACCTTTCCAAACTCAGACTAGACAATGTATAGGTGCAACACTAGGAGCTGGTTGTGTTGGGCCTAGTTCTCAAACTCAAAACTGCAATGTAGGAGTGTCTTGTCCAGGTAGCAATTAGTTTTTGTTTTAAAACCTTTTTGTTTTAGTTAAATTATACCACTTAATTCTTGCTTTAAATATTTTATCAAGTGTTTATTAACGGTTTTATAATGTATAATTTTAAGTTCAATTTTTATTAGAAGGAACTTAATAGCCTCATTTTTTTTTTTTCGCATGTTTTTTGAGAACAGGGAAAATGTAAAGTTTTCTCATCTGATGATAATATTATCTAGACCTTTTTCAAATTGATTGTTTGAATATTTTTAACTTTGTCAGGAGATTGGTACTTTTAGTTATTTTAATTATATGTTTATGTTTCAGGTATTTTAAGTGATTGGGCTGCATGGGGAGCCTGCTCAGCCTCTTGTCAACTTGAATTTGTTGTTCCTCAACAAACCAGTACCCGCACTTGTTCTGGTGCTTCGTTTGGTGGCAATTGTAATGGAGCAGTTTTAACTCAATCTAAAAACTGTAACGCAGAAGTTTTATGTCCAGGTATTTTTGTTAAAAATTTTTCATCTTAGTTGTAATGCATTTTTTTTGTTTTGTTTGTTTAGTAGTAGATGTAGTTGGTATTATTTCAGTATTAAAAACCTCAGATGTAAAAGATTAATAAATTTATTACTTTAAAAGAAAGTAAATTATGATTTCTTGGAACTGTGTTTGTAAAGAATTTTAAAATAGACTTAGAATAATAGTAATAGGAGATAATAATAGATGTATACCTCAAATTAGCAAAGCATTTAACTAAAAAAAGTGAAATTTGAAAAAGTTTAGATTTATATCTAATGTTATTATTACCTATAATTTTTAAAGGTAATAATAACATTAAATGATTCTAAATTATTGTTAAAGATTTTTATAACAGGTTATAAAAGGTTGGTTACTATAGGTTGGTTACAATAGGTTGGCTGCAATAGGTTAGCTGCAATAGGTTGGCTGCAATAGGTTGGCTACAATAGGTTGGGTACAGGTGATAATAAAGATTGCAATAACTATGCTTTTTTTTTCTTTAATCAAGCTCTCCAAAACATCATCATAAAATTTTTATATAGCATTTTGAAACCTCTTAAATCTAAATAGAAAAAAAAATAAAAGACCAGAAAAAATTAAAAGACCTGTCAGTGACATAAAAGTTTTTTAAAATTTTGTAATTTTTTTTGATTTTCAAGTCCTGTTTTTATGTGCTTTTCAGTTGATAAGATTTTGACCAAGTTTTGAAAAGTTGTTAATAAGGACTGGTGAGCAATTGTTAAAGTTCGGGTTTCAAAGTTTACTGGAAGGCAAAGTTGACTTCGGCTTTGACTTTGGTGCTGAATTTGAAATAGAATATCAGCTTTTTGTTAAATTTTTAACTTTCAGTTAAATTTAAAAGCTATTAACTTTTTTTCAATTTATAAAATATATTATAAAATATGCTACATGTTTTATGTATATTAACCTGTTTCTCTGCGCAGCGACCTTGTTTGTCAAGGTTGAAAAGCGTATCAGAGTTAAAGAGTTGAGAGAGGGTTGTAACCAATATAAGAAGTAGCTTTATTGACTTAAGTGCCTAACTTGGCCTTGGGATCATGAATTCAGTAAAAAAAAAGTGTTATAGATAGATTTGTTATACAGAGTCAATATTTGAAAATCTAATTTATTGCTTTCAAAAAAACTATTGTAAAGATTCCATAACTTAAGTTACTGAATTTTTTAGATTTTATTAGATTTTATATTTTGATGCAAATTGTTTTTTATATGTGTATATATTTTTAATAATTTAAAAATTACTTTGCTTTACTTCTTTTTCTTCATGTTTTGAATTATGGTTAATTAAAAGCTAAAAAATAATTTTAGTTTATAAAAAATAATTATACAGCAACCTTGGCTCATGGTTAGAGCACTTGCTTTAGAAGCAAGAGACCTAGGATTCGAAGCAAACTCTGGTCTTAATTTGCATATCGGAAGGAAGTTTGAAATTCCTAGTTAAATACTTTTCTATTGTACTCCGTGACAAAACCGTTAGATCTTCTTGGGACAACTAAAACAAAAAAAAAAAAAAAAAAAAAAATTTGTAAAATTTATAAAAGTCCTGAAAAAATCCAAATTCGTCTTTCAGTTAAATTCAGTGCACGCATATGCTCGTCTTTCATTTAAATTGGAATCTTAAAAAGTTGATTTCGCCGGTCCTTAGTTGTTAACCAATGAACCCATGTTCTTTCTGTAGTGTTAAAATCAAAAGCCAAAATTACTATAGTAATGTAGACTTTAAAATAATTCTTCACTTCCAACAAGGCTGCAAGCAACCACTAATTAGTGTTGGAAGTTACTGGAAGAGAAAAGATGAAGATAGTAGAGCAAGATAACGGTTGATAGATGACTTAAAAGATTGCAAATTATATGAATCTAGAAAGCAAGATGAAAGAAGCGAATTCCAAAGAACTGATGTTTCAGGTAAAAAACTAGACAAATAAGAGTTTTTGGAGCACTTAGGAACAGTCACAGAAATAGGCAATAGAAATAGGCAGACTTAATTGAATGACGAGTAACGCAAGAATGAATTTTAGTAGATGGCACAAGAGTTGCTAGCTCTTTAGAGCAGTGCCCATTATAGTATTTGTAGAAAAGAGAAAGAGAAGCAACATTACGACAATGTGATAATGGTTAAAGGTTGGCTGCAAGAGCAGGTCCAACTATGTTTACAATGTATTTTTGTACCTTGTCTAAAAGAGAAAGGGCATCATTAGAAGATCCGCCCCAGATATGGCAACAGTATTCCATACAAGACTGGATTTGAGATTTATAGAGATAGAGAATAGAATCCAGAGTAAGAAAGTGTTGAGCTCGATAAAGAGATGCAACTTTAGCAGATGCTAATTTTGCAACCGATTTGATATATGGTTTCCAAGAAAGATCAGAAGTTAATCCTAGAAGATGAAGGGTAGATGACTCATCTGCATGTTACCGTTCATAAATATTGGAAAGTCTAAATTATTAGGATAACGATTGCCTGAAAAAAATTGAGTTTTATCAGAATTAAAGTTCCAGCCACAGTGAGCCCCATGCTGAAGCAGAAGTGAGATCCTTTTCAAGCTCAAATCCCCCTCCAAGCAATCAGAGAGAGTTGGCTTCTTATCATGATAAGAATAAATAGTAGTATCATCAGCAAACAATGCCATATTAGATGTGAGATTATCTGAAAGATCATTAATGTAAATTAAAAATAGTATAAGACCAAAGAACCTTGAGGAACTCCTGAGGTTACAGAGTAAGAAAAAGAGTGCTGTCCATCAAGGACAACTTTTGTACTACAAGGCTGGAAAAAAAGACTCTGATAAGTACTTGTTGAATAGTTTTGAAAGGATAGACGACAGCTCCGGAGAACACTTCTGCAAGACTATAACAGGTATGTTGTCTGGGCCTCAAGCTGTAGAAGAGTCTAAGCAGGAAATCACTTTAGATACAGAAGCTGGAGTGATACGAATGTCAAGTGATGGATCAACCTGTTTGACAGCTTTATTAGGTAGAAGGCAACTAGTGGAATCAAGAGATGATATTGATGAAAAGTTCTTAGCAAATAATTCAGCTTTGTCTTTAGGTGAGGTGACAAAGTCTGAACCATGCAAAAGAGGTGGAATTACAGACTTGCCCCTATTATTGATACTAAAAAAGATTCTCCAGAAGTCACGAGAGCCTAATTTTTGTGATGAAATATGAGATTTCATAATCTGAGAATAGCGGGCTTTGGCGTTAGACAAAACCTTTTTACAATGGTTCCTAGCAGTAATAAACAGACGTCTGTTTTCTGTAGAATTATTTTGCTGATAGATATGGAAATAATGGCTTCAATTGGCAATTGCAGCAGCACAATGTGAGTAAACCATAGAGAAGAGTGAGGCTTGACTTGGAATGATCGAGAGGGAATAAAGGATTCCATGCCAGGGTGAATCCACAAAGTTATGTAAGAAGCACAATTGTTAACAGGAAGACAAAAGATTTCTATTCAAGAGCCATCACAAAGAAAATCACAGAAAGAGTCCCAGTCAGCTTTAAGGTAGTTGTAAGATGTACGATGATAGGGGGATTCTGATGGTAAAGAAGAATAAGATAATAGTTTTAGAAAGATCAAACTGTGATCAAAGGCACCTAAAGGAGAATGTGGAGAAACTGGGCACTGGCTAGGATCAGAAACACGACATAAGTCAAGTAGAGAAGGTAAATAATTAAGATTGTTTGGAAAGTGAGTTGGAAAGTTGACTATATGAGTTAGAAGATGAGAAAAAAGTTGTTTCGAAGACCACGAATATTAGTGAATAAAAGGGTTAGCGAACTTGGTGATGACAGTGGTTTTTTGTGTTTTAAAGTTTTTGCTACTTTATTTATTTTTAAATTTGTTAAAAAACTCGACTCGAAACATAGATAGTACTCACTACACTGTTTAATAGCCCAAGCAATTCTTTTATTACTATTAATAAACCCTAAGCAGTAACAAAAGGCTCCATATGGTCTTGGCAATGCACACCAAAAGTACAAACAGAAACATCAACCATGCGCAACATGGCACTGCTAATACTTTGATATTTTTCAGCTGTTGATGAAATCAGCATCTCTGAGAGCTACCATAGAGTTCGGGAAACTTGCCCACCATTCGACCTCAGAACCATAAAACTGAGTTTTAGAGCTGTTCCCTCATTAGGAGATAAAAGAATTAGTTGCCTAGTCATAAAAACAGAGAAACAAGCAAAACCCATGCATCGAGTCAAGAAGATCCAGCATTTAACATCCTAAACTGGAAACAATGTATTAAGAATACATCTGCGCCAGCCTAATAGTTGAAGAAGAGGTGCGAGGCTGGTAAACAAATATAATCTGTGTACCCTTTAAGTCTTTGTCTAGGAGGCCTTCTACCCTTTAATTCTTTGCCTAGGAGGCCTTCTACAAGACAGCAGCTGGTTGCATATAACATCTGTCCAAGATAAGTATTTTTATGGAGACACCATCTCTAGCCTTAACTCAACCAAGAGCCCCAAGGCAGGGGGTGTTTTATGTTAGAGTTGGCATTTCCTAGCCTTTGCCTAAAAAGACGTATTCTACAAGGTAGCAGGACATAAAGCAGATTGTACTGGGTTACATATTAGAAAATGAAATTAAATAAAAATTATGATAAGTTTCTTGATAAGTCGTTGAAACACCTAAATAAACATGATAAAATCTAATTTTTTCTCTTTTTTTTTACTTTTTAATTTTTATTCCTAATTTTGGATTAAAAAGTTATCGATATATATAAGAGTTATATAAATTTTGATACAATTTTTAAATGAATTTTTTAACAAAATATGCAATATAGGAGTATTAACTGATTGGACTGCATGGGGCGTATGTTCTGCCACGTGTAATACTCAAGTCAATGGACCATTCCAAACTAGAGATCGATCTTGTGTTGGTTTTTCTACATGGAATCCAAATTTTGCGGGTTGTGTTGGTGCTACTAGAAACGAACAACAACTTTGTAATCAAAATGTTCCATGTCCAGGTGAGATTCATTTCTTTGTATTAAACTCCTTAATGGTTTTTGCTGTAATAACAAAAAATGTTACTTATAATGTTTTTTAACAAAAGGTAATTATGGTGCATGGGCTGCATGGGGATCCTGCTCAGAATCATGTCAATCTAATGTTAATATAGCTCCATTTCAAACTCAGACTAGGTCATGTCTCGGTGCTACATTAAATGGTGGATGTCCTGGAGCAAGTTCTCAAACTCAAAACTGTAATGTTGGAGTTTCTTGTCCAGGTAACTTTTTTTTTTTTTTTTATGCAATGAAATAAATTTTTTTTTTAATAAACTTTCTGAATTTTATTAAATAGTTCATAAAACAAAAATGAAATGGAAAATGCAATTTTGGTGTTTATTTTGGACCCTTTACCTTGAAGCTATCATTTAATTTCTTATTTTGTATTGTATGTTGTTGTTTTTTTAAGGCATTTTAAGTTTATGGGGAGCATGGGGAGCATGTACAGCAAGTTGTCAAGTAAGTTTTACTTCACCTACTCAAACAAGAAATCGTCAATGTAATGGTGCTACTTTTAATGGCAATTGTAATGGATTAATGTTGACTGATACTCAAAATTGCAATGAGCAAGTTTACTGTCCAGGTTTGTCTTGTTGAAAAAATTTGTACTTACAAACAGCTGTGATATATTGTCATAAGTTGAATATTTATTAAAAAATCCGTTAAGTATATCAGATAGGAAGAAGTAATAAAACTAATTTTTGATTAGCTATGCATGTTTTGTGAGTTTGTATTGAATAGCTTAATTTATTAAAATGCCATTTTTCTAGGAACAATATCGGATTGGAGTTCTTGGAGTGTATGTTCTGCATCTTGTAACAATCTTGTTACTGTACCATCTCAAACTAGAACTCGATCATGTTCTGGGTTTTCTACTTGGGATCCTACCTATACAGGTTGTCCTGGTATCACTAGAAGTGAACAAATTTCTTGTAATGCAAATGTTGGTTGTCCTGGTAAAAAATATTCATAAAATTTTTTTCTGATTTAAATTTCTTTATTGTAATCTTTTTAAACTAAAATTTAAAAAAATATGTAACAGGTACTTATAACGCATGGAATGCATGGAGTACTTGCTCAGAATCTTGCCAATCTAATTCAAATTTAGCACCTTTCCAAACTCAGACTAGACAATGTATAGGTGCAACACTAGGAGCTGGTTGTGTTGGGCCTAGTTCTCAAACTCAAAACTGCAATGTAGGAGTGTCTTGTCCAGGTAGCAATTAGTTTTTGTTTTAAAACCTTTTTGTTTTAGTTAAATTATACCACTTAATTCTTGCTTTAAATATTTTATCAAGTGTTTATTAACGGTTTTATAATGTATAATTTTAAGTTCAATTTTTATTAGAAGGAACTTAATAGCCTCATTTTTTTTTTTTCGCATGTTTTTTGAGAACAGGGAAAATGTAAAGTTTTCTCATCTGATGATAATATTATCTAGACCTTTTTCAAATTGATTGTTTGAATATTTTTAACTTTGTCAGGAGATTGGTACTTTTAGTTATTTTAATTATATGTTTATGTTTCAGGTATTTTAAGTGATTGGGCTGCATGGGGAGCCTGCTCAGCCTCTTGTCAACTTGAATTTGTTGTTCCTCAACAAACCAGTACCCGCACTTGTTCTGGTGCTTCGTTTGGTGGCAATTGTAATGGAGCAGTTTTAACTCAATCTAAAAACTGTAACGCAGAAGTTTTGTGTCCAGGTATTTTTGTTAAAATTTTTTTATGTAAAACGTAACTATTATGCTTTAGTTGTATTGAATTTTTATTGCTTTTTTTAGCAATATATGAAGTTAGTAAATCAGTATTAAAAACCTGAGACAATTAAGTTTAAAGAAATGTTGTATGTTATATATATATTTATAAATATATATATATGCTTGCTATTATTTTTTTTAATTTTTTTTTTTAACTATAATATAATTTTAAAATTAAATAAAATAGTTTTTTTTTAATTTTCTCTTGTTTTTAACAAGGTATGTGTGCATTTCTTTATTCTCTCCATGTTTGCATTTTCTTTTATTCTGATGTATAAAAATTTAATTTGTTTGAATCAAATCCTCTGTTGTCTCCTCACATTCTGTAAATAAATTTAAAAACAAATAGGCTAGTTTTTGTTGCTCCCTTAGAATATATTCTACTATAGCAGGGCCTTCCCTAGATGTCCAGTTCATTGAATTTAAATTTTTCTATTGTAAAATATTTATAATAATAAAAAATAAAGTTGGTTCAAACAAGTTTGTGTTTTTGTTATTTCTAAAGAGTTATAAAAACATTTATAATAAACAATTATATATTATACAAATATATAAATGTATAACAGTGTTATATGACTTAAGTTTTGTTAGTTTATAAACTATAAAACTTTTTAGAATTATATATTTTTTATATGGCTTTATGGTTTAATAATCTAAAATTAACTGTAAAACAATAATTTTTTTTTAATTTTCCTTTTTTTAATAAATCATATTTTTAATAGAATTTAATAATACTGAACCATAATTTTATTATTGTTATATTTTATTTTATTTTGGTATTAATTTATAAATTCTAAATTAGTAGAAATAGTAATTTAATTGTATATAGCGGTTCCACAATACTTGCTTCACAATTTTTTTGAATTTTTTTTTTAAAAATAGGAGTATTAACTGAATGGGCTGCATGGAGCACATGTTCTGCATCGTGTAATACTCTAGTCAATGGTGGACCAATTCAAACTAGAACTCGAACTTGTAATGGTTTTTCTACATGGAATCCAAACTTTATGGGTTGTGTTGGTGCTAGTAGGAATGAACAACAATTATGTAATCAACTTGTTTCATGTCCAGGTGAGAATTTTTTTTTCTTTGTTTATATTTAATTTCACCTATTTTAGGTTTTTGTAATTTTTAGTTTCTTAAGTTCATTTTTTGTGTAACAATTTTCAAGAAATTCAAAAATATTCTCAATGAATTTAGGTTTTTATACTGGTTGGTCAGCATGGAGTACTTGTTCTGAATCATGTCAATCTAATGTTAATAGTTCTCCCACTCAGTTTCACACAAGAAATTGTGTTAACTTTACATTGAATGGTGGTTGTGTTGGCCTAAGTTCTGAAACTCAAAATTGCAATTTCCAAGTATCATGTCCAGGTATTATTTAACTGTTTTTTGATGATGGTATATGATCATGATCATGTTAATGAATTTATTTTGGAGAAACAAGTTTGCTTTATTGAAAATCACTATCACTACACATTTGCTACACTATTGTTTATTCAAAACAAAATTGTTCAAAAACAAATTAGTAAAATAAAAGATTAGTTCTTTGGTAAATTATCATATTTTCAGGCTCACACATTATCATAATCATCAATGAACTATAATGAATTCAGGGATCATCATCTCACACATCATCATAGTCATAATAATAATGCTGTAATACAATATTTATTACCAACATCATTTATTTAATTAATACTTTATTGTTTTTAAAATATTCCTAGGGGATCTTACACAGTGGTCAACATGGTCTTCATGCAGTCAGTCTTGCCAGATTAGCTCAGTAGTACCAACAATGAGCAGAAATCGAAATTGTTTAAATCCTACTTTTGGTGGTAATTGTCAAGGGCAATCACTTTCAGATGTAATGTCATGTAATGCAGGCGTAGTATGTCCAGGTAGAATTTTAAAATTAATAATAGTTGATGAAATTAAAATAAATAAATGTTGCATTAAAAAATTATTATAATCTTTATGAATTATTATTATAATTCAATGTATATTATTAAATTTTCGTATATTTTACCAGGTCAATTGACTGATTGGACATCATGGAGTCAATGTCCAGCTACATGTCAACAAGCAGTTGGTCAATTTAATATGCAGTACAGATCAAGACAATGTGTTAATACAACTACTGGAAATTGTGGTGGAGCTTCGTTAAACGATCAAGTTGTTTGTGTTAGAGATGTTCCTTGTCCTGGTAAGATATTATAATATAAATTTACGTAAAATGATTTTAAAAGATTTTTTTTTTTATTCATTAAAATGATAATATAAAAATATAAGATAAAATATATGTATAAGGAACAATAATATATTAGTGGACAATAGTAATAAAATTAAAATTCAATTTTCAAACAAAATAGAAATAATATACAAGATTTAATAATTTGTTATAAATGCATAAAATGATGATCATAAGAAGAGTAAATGTAGAAAAATGTGAAAAATATTAAAAATAAAAGAATCAATTTCATTACTATTAATAATATATTTTTATAATACAACAGTACAACAATATATTAATGAACTATAAAATATGATAGTAATTGTATAATAATATATTAATAATAGTAATAATAATAATAATAATAATAATAATAATAATAATAATAATAGCAATAATGTTATTTTCTCTCCACAGCAAAAGAAACAATTTATGCAATAAAACTTTAATAGTGTTATTACTTTGACTTGTAATTATGAAGTTTTTTTTTGTATTGAAAAATTTGTTTATTTGTACTGAGGCATATTTTTTTATAAATTAGTTAAATTTTTTTGTTAAGTAAAAACTTTTTTGTTTTAAAGTGAGGAATATTAAGTTATACAATAATTTCTCTCCTTCAAATTAGCTAAGTACTAGATTTTTTTTAGTCTTAAACTATTTTTAAATTATTTTTTTAAATTATTATTTATAGTATAAAGGTTTTTATTTTGTTTATCATATAAATGTTACATATTAAAAATTCAAGTTATTTTTGATTGAAAATATAATTACACCAAAAGGTATACTTGGCCAATGGAGCACTTGGAGTACGTGTTCAGAGTCTTGTAGAAGCAACTTGTTGATAGCCCCATCTCAAACTAGAACCAGAACATGCACAACAGCTACACTTGGTGCCAATTGTGGTGGTGCTTCCCTTGTTGAATCCCTCACTTGTAATGCTAATGTAGGATGTCCTGGTAAAAAATGAAACTATTTAAAATAAAATATTGTTTATTTATTGTATTCATATTTTTTTGAACAAGTTTTTTATTTTATTTTATTCTACCAGGTGTTTGGACCAGTTGGGGACCATTTACTGATTGCTCTGCATCTTGCCAGTCTACTGGTAATATTATTCCAACTCAATCGCGTCAAAGGTTCTGTGTTAATAACACTCTTGATGGACCTTGTCCTTCTGATAATAATGGTGATAAAATCCAAACTGTTCAATGTAATGTTGGAGTTATTTGTCCAGGTACGGAAGTTTACTTTATATATATTACTGGTTTATTTGTAGAGATAATGAAATACGTTTTTGAATTATAAGTTTTACTCTTCGTTAAGTAATATTTTTATTTAAATTTTTTTAATGTCTTCATTACTTTTCATGATTTAGTAAGAGGAACTTGGGGTGCTTGGGGTGATTGGTCTTCATGCAGTGCAAGTTGTGATGCTGGTCTTATTCAAAGATCACGAGCATGCTCAGTTCCTTACCCAATAGGGGCTGGTGATGATTGTATTGGCAACACTACGCAAACTCTTCCGTGTAAACTGTTTGACTGTCCAAGTAAAAAATTTACTATTCACTTCTTTTATTTGCGATAAATAATAAAGTGACAAATAAATTGTGATAAATAAAGACTATTTATTGTAGTTTTAAAAATTTTTGTTCAATTTTTTCTCACAATTGATATTGTTTCGATTTTTTTCAAAGAATCATGTGCTATTGCTAAACGCTGCAACTGTTCTCAAGTTAAACAATGGTCTTCTGTTCCTACATTTGACCAATTTCAATCAAGAGGCTTAACTCTCGGAGGAATTGAAACCGTGCTTGGATATTTAAGTTCATACGGAGATGATACTGTTGATAAAGCATGTCAAGGTATTTTTTTGTGTTTATTGAAGATAAATTTTGACCTTTTTAGTGTTAACAAGGTATTATTTATTTGATAATGACACTTCATTATTGAACATAGCTTGCAACACTATGATGTTAACCACATTGAGATCGAATGTTGCTGATCAGTTAACTCAAGCTAAGGCTGCAAGAGCAAAACTTGAATTAGTAAGTTATTTTTGTTTTAATATTAAAGTATATTATTGTTATTATTTATTTTTTTTAACAAATTTTTTGTTTTGTTTATTTGTATATATATTCCATATATATATATATATATATATATATATATATATATATATATATATATATATATATATATATATATATAAACATGGGTTATAAAAATATCATTTTTCGTTTTATTTTAGATTAAAAATGATTTACGTGACGTCATCTACTGTAATGGAGTAATTTTGAACAATCCGGGTTTATGGAACCTCTACGATTTATTATTTGAGCGAGCAACCATGTTAGACGGGGTTATTATAGAGTTAAACGCTATTTACTTACGTTTTGATGCTGCGTTGACTTCTTGTCAATCGTACGGTAAGAAGTTTTTTTTTTTTATAACGAAATCAATGCTATAGCTAAGTGTACATTTTACACTCATCAAATTATGGAATAAAGTTAAATATATAAATAAATTTAAAATTTATTTTTATATTAAGTTGTTTATAAAAATCTTTTTTATTTTCAGGTTGGATACATCAAACCTTCAAAACAATTTTACGCAAATGCACCTTTTAAAATGATTTTTTAAAATACATATACATACGTTTTTCTATTTTCTTACTGAATGCAATATTGTAAACTAAACACATTTATTCAATCTTGTATTTTTATGTATGCACTTATTTAGTCATTAATTTTTTAAGTTACAATATAGTAAACATGTTTGTTTTTAATTGTTTTTATTTTGCCCTTTTCGTAAATTTGGTATTTACAAAAAATAGCTCAAATAGTTGAATATAGAATATTATGCTTCCAAGTAACTAAGTAAGCAAAAATAATTAAGTCAATATGCATTAAGTTACCTAGAATAAATGTAAAGAAACAAAGCAAGTTAGATACTGACCATCTGTTATCTTTCATTAAGATATAAGATAAAAAAGATCGTCAGTATTTAACTCGTGGAAATTTGTGTCATTCTTTTGTTGGTAAAATGCTTTTTTTAATCGCATGATTATAATTTTAAATCTTCGGCCAGTAATAAAAGTTATTACTGGCCGAAGATTTAAAATTATAATCGTGGCAAAATATAAAATTTAGGTTTATTTGAGCTTATCTACCCAGAATTCATAGTTTTTAAAATAATATAAATAATTAGTATTATTAAAAAACTACAATAAATTTGTTACCTTACCCTGAATTCCAATTTTATGTAAAAACTTAAATCTAACGTTTACAATATTTGGAAAACATTTTTTTAAATTTTAAATTATCAGTTTAAACGGTGAAGTAGTAATCCGGGTGTTTATCTTGTTCCATATAAAAGCAAAACAGTTTGATAATAACCAGAATGGAACCAGTATAATTATTTATTATTATAATCTAAAATTCTTAAACTCATAACTATTGAAATAATGATGGATATAAGAGCTTGATTGATGTAAATAATAGTAGATTTCTTTCTGGCATTAAAACAGGTAGTACGAAGCAAACCACTTACGTTGAAGAAGCTGTTTACTAAAGTTACATAAAAAAACAAGTTTTTTTGGTGTTTGAGAGAACTTTTAGACATGGCAATATAATTACTAACCTCACCTAGACTTATATTTATTGATAAATATCCAAACTTTTTAAGGTCAGAATTTTTGAAAGCTGAGAGATTATACTTTGAAACTTAAAATTTATCGATGAATAAGTCAATGTGAGATTAGTAAAAATCTTTTATCAATTGTTGCTCTCACGTTTAGGGCAGGAAAAGACTAATTTTGGGGGGTTTTTTTGTTCACAGGCTCCAATCATTGTAATTTTTTACGACTTATCTTTGTTTGATTTATTTATAAATATACTAGCTGTCATGACCCGTACGATATGGGTCGTTGTAAGTTTATTCTACACTCGACTATTTCTAAATTTGTTCATAATAATTAAATTTATTTAGTAAACGGCAAAAATAATATCAATTTAAAGTTCTGGTAGTAGGTAAAATGCGAACTTATTCGCAAATCATAGATCTATTGGTTGGTAAATTATAATTTATTTAAAAGAAAGCAGTCTAATTTAAAAAATATATGTATATCGAAAACCATTACATTTAATTTAAAAAATTGATGAGTTGAATGTTTTAAATATCATAACTGTTGTGGTCATTAAAATGCCTTGGTTCGCTAAAAAGCTTGCCATTTGCATTTTACTGACTACCTTAAGTTCTTGCCTATTGGTTAATTTACTATACTTTAGAACTTATTTAGTATTTTTAGTTATTACATTATTACTCATTTACTTTAATATTTTTACATAATAAAAGTATCTTTAGCATATCAGACAGTTGCGTAACATTCTTCAGGTGTTTTTGGAAACTTAGGCTATGATAATATTTTAACTCTCTCATATAATGATTTATTTAAAAAGTAAATTTGGACATTGAAAAATGGACCTAAGAGACCTATTCATATTTAATAAGTTAGCTTTATCTGTTTGATATTTTTTATTAAAGCTTTTCTGTAAAAAAATTCTTAACGAATTTATAAAATTAAGTTGTTTTTACAAAAACAACTTAATTTTATGAATTCGTTACCTATGGTGTTTTTTTAATTACCCTAAAATGTACATTAAACACACACGTTACGTTAAGGTAACGTGTGTGTTTAATGTACATTTTAGGGTAATTAAAAAAACACCATTTTTTAAATAATTCAGCACCTCAACCCTTCTGTATTTTATAAATAAACACTAGATATAAAATTTAAAACAATATTTAAACATAAGAAAAGTTTATATTATTATCGGAAAAAAAAATTATATAAAAATAACTCCAAGAGTAAATTGCGAGAATACTACTAACCAATACAATGAAGTGTTTTTTTGCTCACATTGGCAAGAAACCATCTCACAGATAAACATCCATTGGATGTCACTTAAGACCCCAAAAACTAAAATAACAAAAAATTAACAATGAAACAATTAAATTCAGTTTACTAATGCTTACTATGTACGTCAATTTTAACATTAGATGCAACTGATGATGTAATACTGATTTAGGCAGCTATGAGAGCTTTAATTCATCCAGCAACTGATTAGCACGTAACTAAGTTGATATCACCTCAATAGGCAATAGACCATTAATTTAACTTGATGAATTTTGATCCATATTTTTGTCTTATTTAAATTTAACTAACTAAAAGATTGTTTCAGAACATTTTGGAATTCAGTTACAAAAATAAAAAAGAATATTCAAATGAAAAAAGTATAAAAATACATCTTTTTCTAAAACTTCAGAAGCAGAGCCTTGTTTTAAAAAGTTATTTATTTTTAAATGATCTGAAGAAGTCAAATTTTCAATACATAAAAATGTTAAAGGAGGAATAGCAAGGGCTGGAGCAAGTGTCTTTTTTTTATTATTTATGATTTTCTTTTTTTTTCAGTAACTGTGGAGTGTCAGTTTCTGAACTTAAATATACAAATTTGTGATAATATACACTTCTAAAAGTAAACCAACATCATGATATGATGATGATTATCTAAATTACATATGCTCATCATTATCATGTATATCATATCATTATTGCAATCATCATGATCATCGCCTGATAGGACAATAACTTTACTTATATTTGTTTACTTCTAAATTTATCAGGTCTTACCTTCGTTGATTGAAAAAAAGTCTGAAGAAACTTTTGCCATAGGTAATTTTTATCTTGTTTAGTCATATGTAACTAAAAAAATCAAAATAGTAAAAAAATGTTAGAAAAATACTTTAAAATAGATAACAAACAAAAAAATTATACACTATAGAAAAAATATATATTTGTAAAAAATACATAAAACAACAAACCATAGTTGTACAAAATAATTTTATCATAATCAATCTAACCATTCATATAATCTTTACATTTTTTAATTGTAAATGTGGCGAGTCTTGTAGGAGCATGGCCATCCACAAATATCATTTGTTATCTAACTAAAAAAAATTAAAAAAACAAACCAAACAAATTAACAAATGAAAAAAGAAACGAGAAAAAAAAAAGGAACGAAAAAAAACAAAAGTTAAAAGTAAAAATACATTTGAAAATGGAAAGTAATTAAAATAAAATATAAAAATTACTCCATTTTGGAAGAAAGAAAAAAGAATATTTTTTAAATTTTATTATTTTGGAGTGACGAAATGTGTTTGCTTGATATGATTTACTTTTTTATTTTAATATTGTCATTTATTATGAAAACTCTATACTTTTAATTGAATAATTTTTGTTTTGTATCTTTAATGTTATTTTTTAATGAAGTAATTATTTACCTTTTATCGTTTTTATTATGATTATTAATAAGATTTTAATTTTTATTAAATTATTGTTACTTTTTTTTTTGCAATTATTGTTTTAGTTACATGGTAGGTTGTTACGTTTTGTCAGTACACAACTGTTTGTAACGATCCTGTCTGTGCATTATATTCAGTTGTTGTTATAAAATGAGTATTGGTTTATTATCATATAATTATCTTATTATTCTTATAACTTTTAATTTATCATCATTATTATTATCATTATCATCATTTGTATTATTATTATCATTATTTGTATTATCAATCCTGTTTCATGGTATTTACTTATGATTAGTTTTTAACTATTTGTAAATGACCTCGATTGTAAGATCATTTATCAAAAAATATATTGGTTGATTGATATCCATTTTACATGAAAAACTTAATTTTTTTTTTCCATCAATAAATTTATCAATATGATAAAACTTATTTATCGTTCTCATAGAAATAAAATATATGCTAAATGTAGTAATAAATTATATAAAAAATAGGAATTATAGGCATTAAGTGTAATTACAATTGATCATTTTGTTATATTTGATAATTGAAAAAAAAACTTAAATTTAAGAAATGTTAAAATATAGAGCATTAAATAATACTTAAGTATTTCAGAAAATAAAATGCAAATAAATGATGAAAAAATTTTAAAAATACATTACATGACAATCATCGAAAGCAATTTTGATGATGTCATTTCGTCGGCTCGGGATGGATGCAATTGTCGTATCGCAAATTTATTGAAGTTATATATAAATATGTAACTATCTAATATATGTAAATTTAACATCATATTAATGAAAAAAAAAATTTTTTCAAATGTTATATTAAATAATTTATATTAAATAATTTTTTACATATACATAACTTTAAATTTACATAAATTACGTTATTTCATATTTATATATAAATTTGCGATACGACAATTGCATCCCGAGCCGACGATTTATATGATCAAAGTCATTTTTTTTAAATTATTATCTATGAAATGTATTATTACAAACAATATTAATATAATACTGTTATTATTAAAAGAAAACACTTGAGACACAACATAATAAATAATAAAATAAATAATAAGCACTTTTATTATTAAGAACAAAAATAAACTATATACAAACTACCCAGTGGGCACGGCGATGTTGGATTAACGTTAAAGCGACGTCAAACGCGACGTCGGATTAACGTTGGAAATGGATAGTTGGATCGACGTTAATATGCGATGTAATGGCGATGTCAATTTTTGATGTTAAGACGATGTTACTAGCCGATGTAGTATTGACGTCGCATTGCGATGTAATAGCGATGTAAAAAAATGTCGCATCGATGTTAGTAATGGAAAGTAAGACTAACATTATAATCCGAAGTTAAGTTGACGTAAACCAAGGTATTTAGAAGGAAGTAAAATTATATTGCAAAAAAAAAAAAGAATGAAAAGATTTCCAAATAAATATATAATTATGGTATTGAAATATAAAACAAGATTTACAAGTTAACCACTCATTTGCTTTTTACATTTTAACAATTGAAAAACTATTATGTTGAAGACCGTCTTCCGCCTCACTATGCGTTGCTCTTATACAAAATGAGGAAATAGGCATATAAATAAAGAAGGACTTAAAATATTTAACTTATTTTTTCACAAGACATCAAATTTTTATTTATATTTCTATATTTAAAAGAATCATATTCGGTTTTCATTAAAAAACAATTTATTGTATTTTTTTTCGGTTAGTCCGGACTAATTCTAGATTTGTCCGGAAAACTACACAAGTCCGGATGATTTTATTCAAAAAAAAATAGGCGCCTATATTTTATAAAATTTTACAAACTATGTATATGAACACTATTTCAAAATAAACAGTATCATTGAATATAATAAACAACTCTGCTATCATATGATACTTGGCTCTTTGCATTCTTTTACAGTTTCTCAACATTCTATTCTAATAGATGTTTTTAATAACTTGTGGCTATGAAAATAGCCGTTTTTTAAAAACTCAACGCAGAACAGCTCATCAGTATGATTCTTCATGGTCTTACTTCCTAAAATAGTTAATTACTTGTTAAAATTGATTAAATTTTTTCTTAAATTTTTTTTTAAAAACATAAAAAAAAAAAACAAAAAAAAACGCAACTTTGAATTGTTAATTAACCAAAATTATGAGATTGCCTAACCAAAAAAAAAATCAATCAAAACTATTAACAATATTAGTAATAAAACTATTTTACCTTTATTTTAAGCAGTTATCAGAAGAACTGTCACTTTGCTTTCTTAAACTATTTTGTTTTCACTCTTTTTTTATCCATTTTATTTTTTTTGCAAAAGAGGTACATATCAGATGTCATAAACAAATAATTAGCTGTATCCCTAGTGTTTTCTGCAAAAGAGGTTAAACGAGCATGACCAATTCGAGCAGTTTTGTTTTCCTTATTTCTGGCTTCAATAGCACTCTCAGACAAAGAACCTATCGGATACTTAAAATACCTTATAAAAGAAGTACCATGAACTATCACTCTATGCACAGATTGTGACATAGGTATGGTTTTTAAAAATTTATTATTAGTTATGAGTGCAAATAGATGTTCAGATTTCTGTTTGAAAACCTTTATATCCGGTCTTGTAGTTGTTCTGTTTATATCAATGAGTAAATCTCGAAACAACTTAATCATTCTGATATCCAAGTTTAAAATTCTCCCTGTCACAATGGGGTTATTAAAAAATTTGCGAGCAACATTTCCAGTATTGGTTGTTCCACATCCTTTCCTGACAAAAGAAACCCTTATATTCAGTTTTATCTTGAATAAATGCTGGAATTTTTTTTTGTTTTCAATAAATCCATAGATGAAGACTGCAAATTCCAAGTTTCAAAACATGCTTGTTTAAGTTAATATTTTTTTTACAAATAGTTTTCAAGTTAAACTCCTTAGAATTTGCAAAGCATACATGGTAGGACTGAGATGAAATTCTTTTTTTAAGCATATTTGATACAACAGCGTTTAGTGTTTTGCCATCATTCATTGTGGTATAAATAGTTGACAAACTAGACTTTACTACAAAAGTACTTTCACCAAGTTTAAATTCAATATTCTTCAATAAAAAAATTTAATTTTTCAAATGTTCAAATTTTTCCTGAATAAAACTAGCAGTCTCTTTTGCAAAACAAAAAAGATGACGGGTTGCATCTGGACTATTTGGAATTAAATTTTTCCATATTATTTTTTCTCCACTTCGGATCTCCAGCAGTACAAACACTATACTATACACAGAGCGATCATCTACACCTCTTTTCATAGTTGCTGAATTTTGAAACTCCGATTGATCACTTTGACCATCACCTCCTACTTTGCAAATAATTTGTACATTATCACGCTCTTCTTGTGATAAACTCATTATGCAGTTACTTTCATAATCCAAAAGATATTCAAACACTCTAGAAACTGAATGCTTTATCATATAGAAAAGACTACATTTTACTTCGGTTTCAGAATATTCAACCTGTTCTGGATATGTCAATTTTTTGTATTGCTTCAACTTGGTTAAACCTGGAGGAACAAGATGACGATTATGAGTCACTATATTTTTAAATTCAGTCCATGTTCTATCTGTAAGTTTCAAATTACAAAGAGCTTGCAATGACAAATTTGAACCATATAAAATAGCCCTACCATCAGTAGAAGAATTAGATTTAAACCTTTTGACAGCATGTTGCAGTTCTTCCACCTCTCGTTCTCTAAGACTATCTGTTCTTTTACGCTTCATCCTGTTTGTAAGCTTAATAAAATACTTTCTAGGTTTTGGTGTATAAGATGTATTGACTGCAGATGATTTAGGCACTCTGCATGGTACACTATAAATAATAAAAAAATACATTGAAACATATATACATTTTGAAGGTTTTGTGAAACTTAGTCAAACAATATGTATGTGTGTGTGCAAAATAAAAAGAGGGAGATACATTTATCTATGCATACCTGTTTACATTGGATCCATGAGTACGAAGCAGTAATTCCCCTTCTTTTATTTTACGCTCACCCTGCTTGATGAGTTGATTACCCTGTTTAAGCAGATTTTCACCTTTTCTAATTAATAGCAGTTCTTCCTCATGTGTTCTAATCTCTTTTTCAGAATCTTTTTCTAATCTACACACACAAGTATAATATATATATATATGTATATATATATATATATACATATATATATGTGTGTGTATATATATATATATATATATATATATATATATATATATATATATATATATATATATATATATATATATATATATATATATATATATATATATATATATATATATATATATATATACTCTAATGCTAGGTATGTGACATGAAATTTTTAAATTTAAAAAATATTATATTGTTATATATCGTTAAAAAGAGCATTAATACAGTATTTCAACGGTGAAAAAATTATCAAAATCGAACAATTCAAAAAAAAGTTATAAGGTTTTTAGTGACAATTTTTGAATATATGAAATTGTTAAAGAAACTGTGGTCAAAATAATTTTTTTTGTATCGAAAATGGTTATAACTATGAAAATTCTTGTTGAAATTTCTATAATTTGGTATCAAAAGAAAGATGTAAGAGTGGGCTACAATTTTATAGTAGCATCTTGCCATAGGGCGTGAGTGGACGGCTAGAGGGGGCCCCGAACTACGACTTTTACCACCAAAAAATTGAATATTTTATCATAAAAAAGTATTTTAATACTGAAAATTGTCTTTTTTATCAAACAGAAGTTCCAATATTTAGATCCCAGCTCACCACCATATATGAGATGTGTACCTTTGAGTTAGGGGTGGATGTGGTGGTGCTTGTTTAACACGTATTATTAACAAAAATAATTCCTTTTTTATAAATAATATTATCTCCAATTAAATAATCTAGAACAAAAAATAAAATTTAAGTTTTACTAACCACTAGTTGTACTTTACAACTAGTGGTTAGTGGTGTATAACTCGAGTCAAGGTGAGGGGCGTACACCCGCGCAGCACCGCCCCTCCTCCAATCTCCTTCCAAATTAAAAAAAAAATACTTTACTACATTGCAACTTGTTAGTATGGTATACTTTTATTTGAGAGGTAAGGGCGTGCGCCCGCTTTCGCCTAACCGCCCCCCCCAATATTTTTTTTGTCAATTTTTGTCATTTAAAAAAAGAAAAATTTGTTTACATTTTCAAACGTCAAAAATTAGTATAAACAGACATTTTACCACTTTACAAAAAGCAAATGTTTATCCAGTTTCACATAGGAAAGAGAAATAGCCCCTCCAATCTAAAAATTTTTTTTTAACTTTAAATTGAAAAATATTGTTAAAAATAAACAAAAATTTTAACACTTTAATTTTTAATACAAAATGTGTAAGAGTATTTAAATTCTTAGGCAAAAGGCTGTTTGATTTTTTAACATCTAACCTAAAAAAACATGTAAAATGTTTTAAAAATAAAATATTTAAAATTATGTAATTTAGTGTAAACAAAATACCCATTGTAATTAATTAGTATCTTGGCTTTTAGTAAACAATTTGAAATTCCACTAATGAAACAAAATATTAATCATTTTTTAACGATAGACATCACAAGAAGGTAAGTCAGAGCCGTCTATCAATAATTTGTGCAAGTCACAACACTTCTGTACCAATTTTATAAGTCACAACATTTGCGATACTTTTCAAATGTTAAGACTTTTCAAGTTCTAACATTTGCAGTATCTATTTTGGACTTACCTTTCAATTATGAAAACAATACATATTAACATTAAAAACAAATAATACACAATAACATTAAAGAAAAAAAAAATTCTCCTGATACAACATCTAGGGCCAGCTGGAATTTTTTCATGCAATAATTATCAGCTTCAGAATCAGATTCATCTTTTTTCCAGTAAGAGATGTAAATTTTGTCATGCAATCTTTTTTTTTACTTTTTCTACTCTGCCATCGTATACTTAGATTGTTCAATATCATACCATTCATGATATAGTTTGCTACTAACAATTCTGTCAGACATAACATCATCTAAATCATCCAGTTGCTTTGTAGCAACTGGATGATAATTGTTTATACAAATTCTTAATCTGGCTGAAAGTCATTAACTTAAGTTTTTGTTATAATTTCTTTTTATCTTGTTCATCTAACATTTGATGCTTGCATGTCTGTCTCTTATATAATGCAGATCGAATTTGAGCATGTTGTAGAAAATGGACCATTAATTACATTTTCTTACTTAGTTAGTAATCTAAACTATCAAGATAATAAATAGTCCTATTCTTTTTTCATCTTATTTTGCAAGAAATATAACAAGTTGTTGCATTAGAGGATCTTCCTTTACATTCACTTATTCCTTTACATTCAAGAATTATATAAAATTGTTGTATTAGGGAATCTTCCCTTAGATTCACTAAACATACCAATTAACTCTTCACTATCTATATTGTGAAACCTTGCACTAGCTGTTTCCTGCTTAAGTGTCTCTGTAATGAAAAAGGAGAAGTACCTTTTACATTGTCTAATCAATACATCCGTTACTGAATTAAGACAAGCTGAAGTCATGCTAATAACCTGGTCATCAATGCAGCATTAATATGTTATTGGTTCAAAAACGTTTGAGGGAAGCATTTCCCCCCAAAAATCTGTTGCTCTGCAAAACAGTGCAGCCGGATTAGATTTGCAAACATTAACTGTTTCCAAAATGTTTTTTAGAATCTGAATACCGGTGAGATGATCAAAATTTGCATCCTCAGCTGATACATAAAACTTAGTCATCCACGGACCACTTAGCAGTTTCCCAAATACACCAAGCACACACATTTTTTTAAAAGTGGTAGCATTACAAAATGCTTCTCACAGAGCTGCTTGCAAACTGCCACATTTGACAATTCTAGTGATCAGAAAATTTAGAAAATTAGCATAGTGTTTAATAAATATATGACAAGTATTAAAAAGAAAATATGAAGACGGGTTCCTCGATATCTAGGGATGATACACCTAGGTAGTTTTTTGTGGTCTTAAAAAGTAACAAATCCCTTGGGATCGCTTTCACTGTCTTTAAACCTCATCTTATTCACAGCCAAATCAATTTTGACAGCTACATAATCATTGCCAAATAATTCAAATTTTCTGTCTCTAGACACATCAACGCTGAGCGACATTCAGTAGCAATTGTATCAAGAGGGTGCAAATAAAAATTCAATAAATTCAGAGTTTTACCCCAAGTTGCACTAACTTTGCCTATGGTTAGATGGTTAACTGCAACTCTGTCTGATATTGTGATGAAAAATATTTTCAATACTCAATTAACAACACTCATCATAATTATGTAAATGAAAATTCGAATAAATAAAAGCTAGATGATCTACTGCCCTACAATGTAATCAATAGAATGTAATCAGTACAATGTAATGCCCAAAAATGTAATCATCAGCTTTTCCAGGTAATATTCCATTTTTTTTCAAAAATGGAATATTACCTGTTAGCACATTTGACAACATACTAAAATTTTTATCCTAATGTTTAAAGAATAACACTTTACAGTTTCAGACATAGCAGGAATTATAAAGACATTTTTTTTTAATTCCTTACTTGAAACAGAAAAATAAAACTACAAAAATTATACAAAAATTTTTAAATACAAATGTCACGATTAAAGACATTAATACCTTACTAGATATGGTAATATCCAAAGATTTTCAAAATCTTTCTGAGATTGTTTTGTTTACAAAAATGAATTTTTTGTTTACAAAAATCAATCTGAGATTGATTGATGAGATTAACAATGATTGTTAAACAAATATCTGCTTTTTATCTAAAAAAATATTAAGAATATAAAAGAATATTATTAGGAATATAAAAGAATATAAAAGAATATTATTTTATCTAAAAGAATATTAAAGAATAAACCATAATATAGTGTATTTATATTATATACATAAATTATGATTTAATAATAAATATAAAACAATGAAATTATTAAAATAACGACAATAATAATAATGACAGTATTATTATTACTGTTATTGTTATATACATAGTATGTAGATTCCGACTTTCTCCCCCAACCACAACAACACCCATCGCGAATTTGTGAAAACAAAATTTAGGTACCAAAACTGCTACACTTTTTAAATTATCTGCTACATATTATTTTTTCTTGAAATTTGGCAGGTGAATAAATAAAGGATGTAAAAAAATGTCTCAGTAGTTTTGCAAAATGTCTCAGCATTCCATCAATACAAATTTCACGTGACAACATCAAGTAAATTTTCAATATCTATAAAGTCAATAAAAAGTAAATCATCCATACATAATTGATTCATAAAAATATGCATATAAGTCTCTTCTTTTCAAAAATAATCTATGTTGATATACTTTTCTAAAAAGAAACACCACAACAAAACGTTTGTCTGACGCTGCCTCAAAAAAAATTCAAAAAACGTGGCACAGAATTTTAGCACAAAATTCGATTCCGTAAAACGGCTATTTCCGCATACCTACTAATGCAATATTTATTACTTATTTATAGTAAATCAATATAGAATATATTATACTCACAAGAGATATTTGCATTCTTGATTTTGATCCAAAAAATGTTTATATTTAGTAAGAAAGAACTTTTTTCTTTTTCCACACTCATTAAATTTTTTTATTAAGTTAAAAGCCAGACTTTTGAAAATGTTGAAATTCACAGTGCAATCAGCATAAAGTGATAAAAACTTGGACTGCAAAAATTTAGCACATTCAGATACGTTTTTACTCGTGAAAATATGCCTTGGAGGAAAATTATCAGCCAGAAGTTTGCTAAGATTAAAAGTAACCATTTTTAAAAAATTCTAAATCACGATGAGAGCCAAACTGAGGCTATAACTTAAAGACTAGAAAACAATGTTCCGCCCGCATCCAGTTTCTTCTTGACAAAAACTAACTAACCGGTTTTTAATAAATTCACCTCTTTTGAATTGATTTTATAGCATGTTACTACAGAGGTAGCCAGAATATTATTTCACTTATAAAAAGTCAATTTGTTTGAGAAAATTTAAAAAAAATAAAAAACTGGCTACCTCTGTAGTAACATGGTCTAATCGATCAATCTTTACAGACACCCAAAAACAATGATCCAAACATTTTTTTTTTCTTTTCTTGGTTTTTAATTTACGAAATGTATCATTTATTAGAAAATGTGCAAAAAAAATGAAGAAATTTGAAAATTATCTAATGTAATTTAAAGATTTAGTGAAAACATGGGTTTTTTTACCCCTGAAAATCCCGCACCTAAAAAGGCAAATTTAAAAAAATTAAAAAAAAACTTTTTTTTATTAACTAATACCAACTTGTTTCAGTTAAAAAATATTTAAAATATTAAAATTGAATTTTTTTTTCTGAAAAGTAAGTAAAATCCTATTTCCGCTTCGCGACGCACAGTGCGCCTGTGGCCTTGTCTGGAGCGTATCGCAAAATATCTTTTTCGCAGTTTAATACGTCTTCTTTGTTAAATTTTCTATCCTTCATTGCTGCACCTAAAGTAAAAAAATTTATATAAAAATTAAATTTTTGCAAATAATTTTGCAAATAATTATTGCAACTAATATCAAATTTGATAATAGTTGGAATAATTATTTGCATAAAACAACAACAAAAACTTATAGCTATTATTCTTAGATCAAGTAATATTTTATATATATAAACATTTTAAAATTTAGCAGTTAGAAAAAGTTAGCAAGACAGTAAGTCTTTCAAAAACTAAATTTATAAAACGCACAGCACACAGCTTTGCATATAATAAGACATTTAAAAGCTTCTTTCTTAGGTCTTGACTCTTTATTATTTTCGAGGCGATTAGTTCCTCGAAAATTGAACTTGGCAAACACATCGTACGTAGCGACACTAAAAAAAGTTATTTTTATTATCAACATTTTATATAAAGAAAAGAAAGTGGCAGTGTTGAGAAACCTCCACTTAAATGTTGAATAGCAAAAAGAACAAGCTTAAGCGTTAATTAACGCTTAAAAACTAACCTTTCCATAATGTTCTTGACAACATCTTTAACATCTTTACCCCCAGCAGAAGACAGAGATAAGACCTGATAAAATTAGAAAATGGAATAAAATCAAATAATAGTTTTTTTTATATATCAATAGGTTAATATTATACATTAAAGTTCAGAAAGTATTAGTAAAGTACAGAAAATTTTCTCAAGACATGTTATTTTTTTTTTCATAATTTTAAAACTATTTTTAGACTGAAACCAGTTTTAGTTATTCCTAAGTGTAGTTAAGGGAATTAATAAACTTAATTACTCCAAGGTGCAGCTAAGCATTTATAAATGATTTATAAACTAGCAGAATTCTAAAATTTTGAATTAGTATGATTTTGTCAACGTAACAAGTGCTTTATATTTTTTGAGTGTATTTCTAACGTTCAAAAAAACTTTTGAATAAATGTAAAACATTTTACAACTAATACAAGATTAGTGATAAATAAACTAGAGATTCTAAAATTGAAGGATCTTGATTCCGATTCTCAAACTCTTTTTTGTGTTTTCGATTCTGCTTTTATGCACACACTTGGAATGGAATGGTGGGCATCATACTGGGCCAATTTTCAAAAGAATCAGAAATCGATTCTTTTTTTCCTTTAGGAATCAACGGAATCGATTCGAGTCCAAAATTTTTTTGTTTCCTTAAGAATCAACAGAATGGAAATCAGACTGAAAGAATCGTCTTGAGAGAAAAAGCTACATGGCTGTCGACACCAGGGAAGGGAGGGGAACTTTTTTTTTCGAGGACCTTTTTTTTTAGAAATGTAGAATATTTTTTTTAGAAATGTTGGAGTTTTTTTTAGAATTGTAAGATTTTTTTTTTTAAATAGGGAGTTGCCCACCTCCCAACTAAAAGCCGTGTCGACGGCCATGAATTACCTATATAAATGTCATAAATCAAATAATAAATATTATTTTACCAGTTTATTAAACTCTTTTTCATTTGCAATTCTTTCCTCTAAATTATGTAAATCTTCCAAATTGCTTATTTGGGATACTTCTTTATCTACTCCAACTGAAGATGATGTTAAATTTAGTAGAACTTTCTCAATATTTTCAAGTCTTTGATCTTGTTTGATCAAGTATTTCATTACTTTAGCTTGAAATTCTGCAAATATAAAAATCATAGTTTTAAGATTATTATAAATTATTCTAATACTGTGTAATAATAACAAAAAAATTATTAATAATCAGTAAATAACTCACAAGAAAAAATAACAAAACACAAATACTCAAATACTTTTTGAACAAACCTGACTCGATTAAAGGAAATCCTTTAAATGGCAACACAGCTGCATCTTATATGTTCTTTCTAAATTATTTTTTAATGATTTTAAAATTATTATTCTAACACTTTTATGCCATAAATTATATTTTATAAAAACATTAGAAAAAGTAGAAAGAAACTATATACCAATCAAAATAATTAGTATAATTTAGTGTTTATGCACATTTAGTGCTGTATTAAGGAGAAGGGGCTGGGGTTAATAACCCGGGGGCCCAAAATTGTCATCAAGACCTTTTTTTAAAAGCCATTTTAGTCAATTTTATGCTGGAGCATAAAAAGACTACCTGCAACAATATATATATATATATATCTATATATATCACATATATATCTATATATCTATATATCTATATATATATATATCTATATATATATATATATATATATATATATATATATATATATATATATATATATATATATATATATATATATATATATATATATATATATATATATATATATATATATATATATATATATATAATTAATTTGTAGCTAAGCAAGTAACTTGTACCTTGATTCTCCAAAAGATTATCATAACTTAATAAAAAATAACTATTATTTTTTTTTAATTATTTTATTCTTTATTGGTGAGACACTTTCGTTAGCTGTGGAAAACCACCCAACTTGTGTATTGCATAAGTCATTGCAAAACTCGTATGTTCCTGTATTGAAATTTAAAAACATAAAGGAAATGTTTCAAAAATAAAATAGATAAAATAGTTACCATTTTATGTTTAACACTGCTTACCAAAAACCTTAACTTTAACCAGTTTAAATTTTTTCCATGACTGATCAGGCTCCCTTCTTCCATGAAATGCATGTTTCACTTGTAGATAGTTGTTAGGTGGCCACAAAATATGGCTTCCAGTAACTAACCAATTTGATGAAATAACACCTAAGGTATCTTCATCTTCGTCTTCATTCCAAATAGCCCAACAAAATGGTCCATCCAACATTTTATTCATATTTATAATGTTAGCTACTACAAAAATCTCATGCACATTATATAAATTATTAAAAATTATAAATTCTTATGATACTTACTTATGATTATCATGATTGTTCAAAATAACATTTAACTATTATTATAATATTATAGTTTAATATAAGAGTTCAGTTAATGTTTTAAATCTCGCTAATCAATCACGCAATCGCTCGCTAATCAATAATGTAATTTAAATGTTAACAAACTTATGGAAACCATAAACTTATGGAAACTTTACACACATTTGGAAATATAAACCTTAAACTTAACAATACAAAAATTTACACAAAATTCACAAAAAAACAACAAGTTTAAATAAAATAATAGGAAATTAACAACATAATGTTGCATAAGAAAAAAAACTTAAACTAAAAAATATTAATATAATATTTCATGATTAACTTCAATTAAAATAAAATCATCATCTTGTTCCAGACAAACTAACTTGTAGCAAATATCGGATAAAGTTATACATTTTCTTTTCATTTTATTGATCTTAGAAACCTTGTATATTCCAAAATCTGATGAGTTACATGGGATGGTAAAAAAGTTAGCAATGGCATGAAAAGAAACAACATTGCAATAAAACTGTGATTCAGAAACTATTTCAATAACACAAATAATTTCAAGTGATTTTAAAATGAACCATCCATCACGATCGTTTGGTGCAATTTCGTCTGTAATAGTTTTGGAGCCATAACAAACATTGCTACTTTCTAACTCACTCAGGCGTTTTGCTAATTGAACGAGAGGTTTATTTTCGCTTTTTACAAATTTTTTAACTATTTTAAGGAAATTTTCAAAAGAAAAACTTGAAAGATCATGAAGGCAACAGTTATGATACAAAACATCTTCATGTAGATGAAGCAATGCATGAACGTTAAAAGAATAAAATTGTGGCCCATAAAGCCTATGAAGATTTGATACAAAATGATACATTAAGTTTTTTGCGTAATAAGTAGTGTTGTCGTTTTACTACATTTGAGTTGCTCATTAAAGATACTGCAATGCTAAAACACATGAAGTTCTGGTAGACCTCTTTTGACAAAACTATTGGTCCAGTGTACAACAAGAATTGTCGAAACTCAGTTGCTTTAAAACGCTTAAATTCATCAAGTGAACGTGGTTGTCGAGCAAACTCACTAGGCATTTTGCCATGATAAAAAACCGGTTTATCAGACATGTTTTATTTTTGCTGACACGATAGGCGACTAAACATCGCTCACATGAATGGTACCCTCCATGACTTTTAATATTCTTTAAAAAACAGCGTGCAGGCACATCACAAACAAATGCCTTGATTGAAACAGGTAGAGTTTTTCCATTGTGTTCAATCCCACTAATTTGAAGCAATCTGTACTCAGTTAAAAATTCATTCAAATAGTCAAATAAATTATTTGGTTTCTTTTTACCACAAAATAGACATACAATAAATGGCTGTAACTCTGAAAACTTTGCTTAAATTGGCCAAAATTGTGTGTTGCTACTCTTACATAAAGGCAATCCATCGATATTTATTAGCAAATCAATTTGTTTCACAATTTTTTGAGAATCCTTTAAAATTTGTTTTATTCCTTTTTTAATCCTGTAGATATATTCACCCCCACACAGTTCTTTTATTTTTATATATTTAGGGGTTTTTAAAAGTGTTCTACAATCATATGGGAGAGAAGATACTGCATTTTTATTTAAAATACTTAACAGTTCATTGACAGCCTTTCTTGTACATCTATTACCATTTACATCATTTTTTTTTTTTATCATTTACATTTTTTTCTGTTAATAAGCAAACTGTGTTGTCAATATCAAGCTCCTTCATCAGCGACTTGTTAATATCTTTGTTTTTATTTCTCCAACGTTTTAAATAAGAGTTCATTTTAGTACTAAAATAAAAATAACTTCGTAGTTCAATAACAAATTTCTAACCTAAGTTTCAACCCATGCCAATTTCAGTAAAATAATTTATTCTATATTTAAATGTTCTGTAAAACATCGCGTGTCAACGTTAGAGCGATGTCATTTTCAATTTAAAAATCGACATTGGATAAAACTACGAGTTTTACGTCGCTTTAATGTTGATTCAACATCGCAATGCGATGTTAATTTTCGACATCATTCTCACGTTAATGCGATGTTGATTTTACGTTAGCGATGTCACCAACCTAAAACCAACATCGCAACGACGTGAGAATGACGTCGGTGCCCACTGGGTATAACAAGTGCAGCAAGACATACTTGAGAAAATTGTCATTTAAAATTGCAACATTTTCAACTTTTTCTAAAGTTAATGCTAAATATTCCTAACAGACTTGAATCATAAGGATAAGTAAAAAAATTTGATCTTGTCAAAAATTACTATTACACAATATAGGTAGTCTTGTCAAAAATACAAATACTTTTCACTACACAAATTTTGTTGTCTAACACAAATATTGCCACGTGTTGCTTTAAGATAAAGATTTGGTAAGTAAATATCATTATATGATATACAATATACACATACACATGTATATGATACACACTATACACATACACATATACAATATACTCATACTTATACATATAATATATTGAGTATAGTATAAATAATACAATAATATTTTTGTGAAGGGACAATGTAAATAGTACAAAACTAATTCAAACCAGAGGCCTTTTAAAAAAACAAAACAAAAACAAAACAACATGATGAGGGCCTTCTATTTGATCTGCAATAAACTGCCTAAAGTAAGATGTCTAAAATAAAAAAATCAAGACATGGAAAAGGAAGTAAAAACATTAAAGATTAACATAACAAACCAATTTACCTGTTGCTGTTGCTTTTTCTAGAGCATTGGTAAAAATAGTTTAAATCTGTATAAAAAGATATTTATTGCAAAAACAATCAGCTATTACACAAAATAACAAAAACATAATAGCAATCAGGGAAAACAAATTTTGCAATTTGATCAGAAAATAAAATTATTCGTACCTTGGTTGTGACAACTAATTTCCTTTAGAATTATTACCTAATGGTCAACTAAGCAAATTTTAAATAATTAAAGTTTACTAAGTTAAAACCATATTTTAACAGTAGGCAAAGTAAACATATGATTCTTGGTAGAGCACCTGAGTAGAACTAAAGAAATAAATAAATTTGCTATGCGATGCATATTATACCTATTGAGTTCTCGCCTAGCCTGATTTCTTTCATTTTGATTACAATTTATCTCAGCTTGCCTCGGCTCATCTCTTTCACTTTGACAACAATTTATCTCAGCTCGCCTAACCTGGTTTCTTTTACTTTGAATAAGTCTAATAATTTCACTTCTATTTTTGATGCTTAATAATTTCTGATAATTTCACAATTATCAAAAATTCATCAAAGGAGTGTGTGTAAAAATGATGCTTAAAATAATAATAGTTGAACTTTTATTTTTAGATTGAACTTTGAATTTTCGTTTCAGGATTTTTTTGGTGTTTGAGAAAGGTAACTTCCACACATGGACCATGTGTGGAAGTTACCTTTCTCAAACACCAAAAAAATCCTGGCTACGCCTCTGTTTACGGTTATAAGGTGCTCCAAAAAGTCCTTACGGTCACAGAGCACAGCAGAAATGCATTTAACTAGAAAAACTACATTTCCTTCCATACCAATGTCGCTTATCAGGTCAAAGCTAGCAATGATCTCTAGCCTTTTATTTCTGAATCAGAATTCTAATTTCTAACCAAAAAGCAAACAATATTGCGCAAATATTGCCATGTGAACATTTTGCCAATATTGCGCCAATAATATCAAGTCAATATTGACCAATATTGGCAAAATGTTCACATTGCAATATTGGCGCGATAATGTTTACAATATTGAACCATTATTGTAAATAATATCGCACTAATATTAGGGATATAATACTGACCAATATTGGCGTAATATAGCTTAACATAACTTACAATATTGGCATATTGTAAATTATATTAAGCCAATATTGTAAATTATATTAAGCCAATATTAAGTATTTTCGGTTATCAATTTTTATTATTAAAAATTTATAAAAAACAATATTGTCTTGTTAAATTTTTAAGAATTAAAATTTGTAACAGTTTTTCTTGTTTAAATGATAATATAGTACCAGGTTGCATAATTCTTTTGAGTTAAACAGGTTATAGCCTAGGAGACGACAATTATCATAGAACATTTTAAGAAAAAAAAAAAATTTCAAATCATTAAATTTATTTGAAGTTATACGAAACAGATACAAATTAAAAAAAAAAAAAAAAAAAAAGATATAGAGTGCTCCAAAACTAAATATACCAAAATAAAATCAAGGTTATTTAAATACAGGCACAAAAAATATGTATATATGTTTATAAACTACTGCATTATACTCTCACTATATGATAGTGGGCATTGACTTTCATTTTTATGCTGATACTTATTTCATTGCTCAATATTGGGCGTTGCTCAGTTATGCATAACTATGAGTAGCTTAATTTTTACCAGTTTTCTTAAATTCATAAATATAAAAAAACGTCTTTTGATCTACTGATACTTTGTCCATTCAAACAGCGCTAGTTCGTTTACAGAACTCAAAACTTTTGGGCGAGGTCCGACATACTGTTTTTTAACAGTTTTTTTTAATTTAATTTCCTTTTTCAGAGTTTATTTTTGCGATGCATCATAATAATAATCAGATCAGATTAGTAAATCACGGTAAAAAAAAAAAAGAAACGAAAAGAAAGTAATGTTGAAAATATTTAAAAATTATATGTAGAACAAGCATGTAGAGCATACAGTTGCAGATAATCAGGATCAGGGGTGACACCAGCATTTTTTGGTCTTTGAGATTAACTAACTTCCAGACATGGAGTAAACTGCAAATATTTATATGTTTACACTTATATCAAATAAGGATGCTTTGCCAAAAATTGCGATGATTGGAGCTTGGAATTAAAAAAGCCCCAAATTTTTGCCTCCCTGCCCCAAACGTGATAGCAACAAGTTGATGAAATATTTTTTATACTATTTTTGACTAGACTTTCATTCATCAATAAACTCGGAGTTTTATGGTATTATCTCTCAACGTTCAAAAATTATGACCATGTAAAATTTGCAACCCCCTCAAAGTGAGGGGGTTATAAGTTTTGAAAGTAAACCTATTTTACTATAAAAAAGAGTTTGCTCCATGTCTGGAAGTTAACTATCTCAAAGACCAAAAAATGCTGGCGCTGCCCCTGATCAGGTTGCAGTGATATAGAAGAAAATGAAGAAAGTGTATAG